TATCAATAGAACAGAGTAGCAGAAAGCTGGGCTGTCCTCTATAAAACCAGATGAATGGCCATGCGAGTGGCTGGCAGCATGGCATGAGCAGCCCTGGGCAGGAGAGGGCAGGGCTCAGCTCTATGCAGAGCCCCATGGGGGCAGCCATGGGCTGGATACAATCAATTGCTGGGTGCTCACCTGTAGGCCAGATCCAATCAGTTGGTGGGCCTGATTTGGCCCATGGGCCATATTTTGCCCACCCCTGCCCTAGCATCATCTCCCTGGGAGCTTTTAACTTCCTATTGGGCCAACTAATCATTCCTATCAACTAGCCCAGAGCTCCTATGCAGGCAGACTATTACCCTTGAACCCCTGCAGCGAGGCTTTGGCCCCTGAGTCATGCACCATAGTACAGTGACATACAAAAAGAGATTTGAAATGACCACAAATAATGAAGAGATTGGCTTTCTTTCTCATCTCAATAAAGGAATACATTGCTTTTAAATCATGAGCCACTGGTTTGGTGCTGACTCAGAAGGAAGAATGTTTTCTATAGCTTTACCTGGTTAATTGCCACTTGCTGTGTTGCCAATTTTCATGATTCTGCCATGAGTCTCAGGACACTAATTCAGTCCCTAGCTTAAGCAATTGAAGTTGGATTTGGGAGATTGCATGAGAATCCCAGCCTTCATTTTAAAAAAGGCAGTGCAGATGCATTATTAAAAAAAAAAAAAAAAAAAAAAAATCTAGATTTTTTTTTTAAAGTCAGTCTCATGATACTTGGGTCTGGCAATATTGCATTTGAGTTTTCTTTTCAAGCCTACTAACCACGCATTGATGTGGGTTAGCTCTGCTCGGCTTGTGGGCTGTGATGAGATCACAGGCCTAGCTGCAGGCCAACATGAAATATATCTTGTAAAAACAATTTCAAAATTACTAGGAACAGATGGTCTTGCTACTTAGAGCTGATGCTAACAGTTGTATATTACACTGAAAATCGTAGTTCAAATTTCAAGTCTTCCCAGGTGCTCAGTAGCAAAATGGTAGGGCTAGTGCAGCACGTTTTTAGAAGAGAGACCTATGATAGTCATAAATGATGTATTTTGCTTTTGAAAAGAGTGGGCAGGACAGACAAGAAACACGTGCTAAAGGCACCATGGGTAACGCATCAGTTTTACATACAGGTTGCCAGACAGAGGCTATGCAGGTGTCTGCAGCTTCTTCCTGCATGCTTTCTCCCTGAACTGGTGTTTGCTTTTGGTGTTTTCACTAAAAGTCTAGGATCAGGGAGAAGATAAGCAGCACATGCATACTCTTTCACCTCTTGAGAACAAAATCAATCAAAGAAATAAGGTCTGTGTGTCTGGAGCTTTTGGTAAGTCAAGGGGCGAAAAAAACATAAAAGCAAATAAAAATATGGTATAACTGAGGAGAAAATATATGGTATAGCAGCAGCTTAATACCTGAGAGTTTAGTATTAGGACTGTAAGAGTAGTAAATTGTAAAGCTCAATGAAAATACATTTCCCCTATGCCCTCAGTGTTGAAGAAGACTTGAACAAGTTAACCTGAACCCTATGGTCAAGTCTGATGTGTTGTTTCAAAATTCTGTTTTATTGTTGTTACCAACCTCCAGAAACATGGAAAAGGACAAGACCGTGTTTTTGTAAGGCTCCCTATGTTTCCTCTGTTCCCTTTTTTCAGATTTCTGTACTTAGCAGTATTCTTCTGTAATACAATTCAAGCCATTTTCACTTTCAAAGGTGCCAAGAACTTCTTTGCAGCTACATCCCTGCCTCATTTTCTCTAGCACACATGCTGTGGTTCTGTCCCCACTGCTCTGTGTAACCCCACCTACACTAGCTGAAAAGGCATTGCACAAAACAATTGGAAGAAACAGTGTGTGTGCTGTGTGTGGCTGGCATATTGGATTCTTGTGAACCGCCCATGACTCAGACCAGTGTAAAGTGGGGACACAGCATTCAGTGAATGATGCAATTTCCATGTGCAAATAGGCGCTTTTATCGAACCTGGTACAAAGCCTAACTTTTGGGCACCTTGCTGTTTAGTAAAATCCAAGAGCCCAAGTTAGGCACTGAGGTTCCTTATTTAATGCAGAAAGAGACTTAGATTTCTAAGAACTGGATCTATAAAAACCAGGACATTGGGGTGGTTTGGCCAGTAGGTATTGCCAAGAGGACGGGTATGTCTTCAACACTTGGAACTGAGAATCCTAAATCCTCTATTTGACTTTTGCAAAAACAAGGCTAGTTTTTTTGCCTAACAGCTGCAGGAAGAGGTGCTGCCATACTGCCCGTCTCTTTAGCATCTATACCTAGATCAGTCAGTAGATGGCACTGAATGTGGGAGACTTGTTTAAATTTGCAGCCTAAGGGAATTCAAAGCTGCGTTTCCTATGTGAGTGCTCTGCTCACCAGGCTGAAGAAGGGGGTCAGTAAGTTCCTCCTGTTGAAAATGTACCACTCTGAATGGATTAATAAACTGCTGAGAGAGCATGAATCCCTGTCTTAGTGATAACTGCACTTACCTGGAAGGGTGTTGACCTGGAGTCCAGTTCCTGTTGCAGTTGTAAAGATTACTAAGTATTCATTGGAGGGAGCAGAGACTTGAACCCAGGTTTCAACCCCAACGGGTGACTGTCCTAACCTCTAGGCTGCATGCTTTTGTCCTGCTCTAATGAATATTTTGATATTCTAGTTCAAGAGGACTAGCGTCCAGAGGAGGAACTGAAAGAGCTCTCTACCTTTGGATACACTGAAGCCTGTTGACCAGAGTATTCACCCAGGAGGTGGGAAATCTGGGTTTGTCTCCTCAGGTGGAGGAGGCAATCGAATGTGGGTCTCCCACCCTCTAGTGAGGTCATTTTAACCACTGGAATATATGGTAAAGGAAAGGCAGCACTGCATCCTCTTCCCCCATTTTGTGCCAGTGGGATGGCTCTGAGAATACCTAGTGGTCAGCCCCACAAAGGAGAAAGATGGGGAATG